ATGGAGTCTCACACTGTCGCCCAGGCTGGAGTGCAGTGGCAGGATCTTGGCTCCCTGCAACCTCTGCCTCCCGGGTTCAAACCATTCTCCTACCTCAGCCTCCCAAGCAGTTGGGACTACAGGTGCAAACCACCACACCTAGCTAATTTTTTGTATTTTTAGTAGAGATGGGATTTTGACTTGTTGGCCAGGATGGTCTCAATCTCTTGACCTCGTGATCCGCCAGCCTCGGCCTCCCAAAGTGCTGGGATTACACGCATGAGCCACCGCGCCCAGCCTACAAAATTGTTTTGAACATTTTGCCTTTAAATTAAAACAGTATTTCCAGACAAATGCTATGCATTTCCTCATATATTGTGAATTTATTTAAGAAATGTAATTTCATGTAGACATATCAAGGCCAGTTTTTTTAAAAAGGTAAAGGTATTATAAAGATATTCCGAAAGATATTCTTTTGAAGTTAAACTTAAAAATATTCAGTGATCTTTAAAAATAGCCGGTTCATAATTCAAGAATATCTCAAAATTTGAAAAGCAAAATTCAAAATAAATAAGAGTATGATTAGTATGCCAATGCATTTGAAATAGTCTCTAGTGAGCAAATAAAAACAAAAAATGATTCTAAGAGGTATTGTTTTGGACTTCTGAGGTGATATCATTTTGATATCATGTTGATATGATTTCAAAATGTGAAAAAACTTTAAAAACCATCTCTCTAGTATTAGGGAGAAAATCTTACTGTTCATTCAAAGACTGATTCCATAATGGGCTCTTCTTACTCCCTCATAGGGCCTAGTGTCTTCAGAGATGGAATTGGAATTATCATGGGTCTGTCTCCTTGGGTTTTAATAAATCCTCAGATCTAGGAATGGAAAAGCAGCCAATGCTTCATAATGAATAAATTCTCTAGTGGTTCCATTTCCCATACCGTTTTGCAATGGAGAAATATTCTGTATTCAGGTCTATGTTACTATAGGAAAGCAGAAATTTATTGTACTCAGGGAGATCATTTCCTATACTTTTGGGATTAAGGACTAGGGTTTCAGTGGGTGTCTTGGGAGTTCAGACCTCCTCCTGACATACCACTAAGAATGTCCCCGGAATATACATGTGAGGTTCTCATGTAGATTTTATCACCAATGCCTAACTTGCTTCTGCTGCTTCGCTTTGTTGCTATGGTGTCCAACGTTTACTTTTTCTGGCTTTCCAATAATCAGATTCCTGATTGTGTTAAACTTTACCAGGAAGGTGAGAAAAATGGACACATAAAATATAAGACAACATAAAATTGGCATTAGAAACAAATGATAAAATGATGCATTGAAATGCAGATGTCACCAAATGAGCCCTCCACATGTAATACTGCAAAGGCCTCTTATTGTACAGACTAAAGTCTGAACCAACTAAAGTCTGTACAAAACTCCTATCATAACCCCCCTGCCTGCCTTCAGCCTTACCTCTCACCTTCTTTTTAATAGTAGAAGTTCAATAAGTCTATAGGCAAATTAATGAATCTAATATTTCTCTCTAGCCATCTCAACCTGGCTCCATCAACTAGACTGTGAGTTCCTGAGCACAAGGATTATGATTTAACCAGCTTCTTATCCCCAGAACATTGCCCCGGGCTGGGGTCTTATTAAGTGTTCAGTGCAGTTTGTGGAGAGCAAGGAGGGAGAAAAGGGAGTGAAGGAAGAGAAAGAAAAGAGATGCCAGTGACTGACAGCATTTGCTCTATTGCAGGATTACGCTCCCTTGGGATGACAATTACCCAGTGTTATGAAGAAGTCGGCCTACTGCTCCTATTTCTATCTGTGGGAATCTCCATATTTTCAACTGTAGAATACTTTGCTGAGCAAAGCATTCCTGACACAACCTTCACAAGTGTCCCTTGTGCATGGTGGTGGGCCACCACCTCTATGACCACTGTGGGATATGGGGACATTAGACCAGACACCACCACAGGCAAAATCGTGGCCTTCATGTGTATCTTATCGGGAATTCTTGTCTTGGCCTTGCCTATTGCTATTATTAATGATCGCTTCTCTGCTTGCTACTTCACCTTGAAACTCAAGGAAGCAGCTGTTAGACAGCGTGAAGCCCTAAAGAAGCTTACCAAGAATATAGCCACTGACTCATATATCAGTGTTAACTTGAGAGATGTCTATGCCCGGAGTATCATGGAGATGCTTCGATTGAAAGGCAGAGAAAGAGCAAGTACCAGGAGCAGCGGGGGAGATGATTTCTGGTTTTGAATTAATTTTCAACTTATTTACAAAAGCTATGTACAATTAACTAAATTGATAAAGCAGTGATGTAGATTTCTGTATTCTGATGATGAGTCTCTTCGGAGCACTGCTCATCTTAATTAACTTTTGCTGATACATTGCTTCGTCTACTAGAATATTTCACATCACCTATAACAACTGCACAGTGTACTGGCACATCTGAGTGTCCAAAAGAGCCAATTAACACAACCAAATACAACTGGGCCAATATAAACATGTTTGAATTGTCAAATATAAAATAATATTATTGCAATATATACAAAAAAGTTAGATTTTATGTATCACTAATTTTAGAAGTTTTTTGCACCACTAATTTTTTTTAAATGAAAGTTGAACTGCATAGCCCAGAGAAAGATAAGTGAATATTTAAGAACATACTGAACAATTTTGCTATTTAAAGACATTATCCAAGTACATAAATCACTCCTTTCTTATCAGTTAAAGGTATTGAATATAATAATTACTTTACAAGAGAAAACTCTTTTCTGATGGGCAGCGATTGTATCCCTATTTTCTTTTTCGTGCAAACTACCAGTCACAAATGAACTGATCTCTATATCCCATTATTACTATAAGAGGTGGGAATCCCAAAACTCCTTAGATTGCAGTACATGAGTCTATACAAAGGCTTCAACAATTGCACATCTTCATTCTCCCAACTGAGTATAATATGTGGAGCATAAAACAGCATATTTCTTAGTACTTCATGAAAATCAGATGGTCTTTTATGGATGTATTGTTCACGTTATGGTTTTAAAGTAATGAATATGTAAAAGTGAAGTAGTGAACATCCTAAATTTATACATTGAAATTCTTAAATAATCTTATTCATATAATGAGAAATATATGTTGAATGACATCACTGGATAAACTTGAAGACCTTTTATTTATTAAAAAAATATTATGGACAGCTTTCTGGTTGTTGGGGTAAATAGCAAATGTTCAAACTTTGCAGGCATTTTGACAGCATTTTGAAATTTATGATAATAATACCATTCCGAGACATTCTGTTATATAATTAAAGCCAAAACTGCTAACGCTAAGAATTAGCTCATGATTCCCATTATCTTAGTAAATGAAATTCTAAAACCTAAGAACAACAAGGAATCAATCACCTTAATACCTATGTCTCCAATATAATAGAGCCCCCACGGGGAAGAAAATTGGCTCATGGGGAAAAAGAAACTTACTCATTTCATATACAAAACACAGATATGCATACAGAGTATATCTGTAGTATTAACATTTCATGGAGGTGAGAAATTAGGGGGAAAAAGCCTAGAAAGCTCTTTGCCAGGGGTGAATGGTGATAAGAAATAAACATTGAGAAGGACTGCTTTCATATATAACATATTTCATCAACTCTAAGACATCCTATTATGCTATGCACTACCAAGAAAGAAAGATATTAGTCAATTGTAAGACGCCATTAACTGTAAGATGCATCTGGATTTCAGATATGTAAAAATTTAAAATAAGTACCTTAAAATCCATGAAATATCGCATGTACTACCTCCTGTTTTCTGGTATGCATGCTTAAGCTCTCAAAACATTTTCACTGATGGCATGAGTTTTAGATTGTGTGCTAAAGTACTTTAATTCATTTCACTTGTTTCCACTTCTCCTAAATATTATGAAAGATTTAGGAGATATGAATATTAATAAGATAAATATTTTCCTTCTTACATACATACATGGGTGCTAGAGTGTGGCACAGGGCCACTAGTTGTAGTATAAATCCCTTCCGCAATCTGAAGGGGAAGTAGAGGTTAGACACAGAAGGTAAACTTAATCCAGCTTTTCTAGAACTTTCTCTAATAAGAATAGTTACTCTGATATAGGACTATGCTCTGTATTCATTATATATTGTGTTATTTTATCCTCAAAGCTATCCCTATTATATAATTACTATTCTTATACTCTTCAAAATACATATTTTATATGTTTATTAACTCCACAAATATTTATTAAGGACCTTTTGGTGTGCTGGGTACTAGGGAGTCTTTAAACAAGACTAGGTTCTGTTCTCTTGTACTTAATATTCTATTCAAGGGTATGTGAGAGAAAGATAGCAAACCTGAAACATTAAAAGGTATAAACTTGCCTAAATTCACACAGGCTATAGATGGCAGAGCCAGGGATGAACACCAGTCTGCTTGACCCTGAAAATGACACTTCTAAAAGTCAAATTGCAGATTTCATTCTTCCCACACAAGTTCTGCATAAAAACTTATTTTTTAGGCTGGCAGGCCAACTTCTTGTGCATGGAGAAGTTCAATATGCCTTAAGTAAAATAACAGCTTATTCTCAGAGGTGGAATGGTGCTTTTAAGAAAAGGCTGTGGTGACACCTTATAGTCATTATTAGATAGAAAAAAAATATTATCTTAATAGTTGGAAAATAAAAAATTTAAAAACTACTTGTATATATATGTATATATGTTTTTATCATAGAGGATCCTAAACATCTTCTAGATAAATGTGCTGTTAGCTTTATAAATGTTGTCAAGATGTAGGTATTTCAAAAGGAATTTTAAATTATTATTGCTTACTTAATTTTGCTGTTAAATAAAATATCAGTTTATTTATTCAATGAGTGTATATATAAGCAAATCTAATTCATTTAAGTAAAAAAGTCAAGGCAGGAACTCTGCTAATTTTATATCCCATTATTTTAAAACATTGAACACTTTTTAAACATCTAAGAATTATTGTTATAAAACTATTTAATTTTTTTAAATATAAAAAATTGAATTATTGTCTTTCTCTAAGGTATTTAGAGAACACAACTTTGTTAATTTAACTTTTATTTTAAGTTCAGGGGTACATGTACAGGTTTGTTATATAGGTGAACTTGTGTCATGAGAGTTTTTTGTACAGATTATTTCATCACCCAGGGATTAAACCTAGCACTCATTAGTTATTCTTCTTAATTCTCTCCTTCCTCCCACCCAGCACTCTCTGATAGGCCCCAGTGTGTTTTGCTCCCTTCTATGTGTTTATGTGTTCTCAGCATTTAGCTCCCACTTATAAGTGAGAACATGTGGTATTTGGTTTTCTGTTCCTGCATTGTTTTGCTAAGGATAATAGCCTCCAGGCCCATCCACGTTCCTGCAAATGACATGATCTAATTCTTTCATATGGCTGCATAGTACTTCATGGTGCCTACATACATTTCCTTTATCCAGTCTACAATTAATGGGCATTTAGGTTTAGCCTATGTCTTTGCTATTGTGAATAGTGCTGCAATGAACACGTGTGTGCATGTGTCTTTATAATAAAACAATTTCTATTCCTTGGGTATTACCCATTAATGGAACTGCTGGATCCAATGGTATTTCTGTTTTTAGGTCTTTGGGGAATTGCCACACTGTCTCTCACAGTGGTTGAACTAATTTACACTCCCAGCAACAGTGTAGAAACGTTCCAATTTCTCCACAACTTTGCCAGCATCTGCTTTTATTTATTTATTTAATTTTTTACTTTTTAATAATAGCCATTCTGCCTAGAGTGAGATGGTATCTCATTGTGGTTTTGATTTGCATTTCTCTAATGATCAGTGATCTTAAGGCTTTTTTCATGTGATTGTTGGCCACATGTATGTCTTCTTTTGAAAAGTGTTCATATCCTTTGCCCATTTTTTAATGGGGATTATTTGTTTTTTCTTGTAAACTTAAGTTCCTTATAGATGCTGGAATATTAGGCCTCTCTAAATGTATAATTTGCAAATAATTTCCCCCATTCTGTAGGTTGTCTGTTCACTCTGTTAATAGGTTCCTTTGCTCTGAAGAAGCTCTGTAGTTTAATTAGGGTCCCAATTGTCAGTTTTCACTTTTGTTGCAACAGCCTTTTGTGTCTTCATCATGAAATCTTTGCCTGTTAGAAAACACTACTTTCAAACATTTAAATGCACATAGGCAATGCTTGAGTACCTGAAAAAGCTATTTTAAGAAATTATTGAGATATTTCTATTAAGTGACATATTCATATTTTATTTTATGTATATATTATTTATATAACATACAAGAAATTGTTGCATTTATCATTTTAATGCAAAATAGTATCAAGTATAATGGATCAGATGTACTAATAACTGAGGTAGGAATCTCAGTTCTGTGTTTTAGTATGGAATTCTTATGCTTATTAAAGTATTTTGATTAGCTGTTGCAGAAAATATATATGCTGACCCAATTTATCTAAGCAAAGCATTGTCATTGGATAAGTTTACTACTTTGAGAAGTATTTTCATTGATACATTGTGTTAACAAGAAAAGTCTCTTCTTTTCATGTATTAGCTGTTAATAACTGTCTTATGAATCCTTCAGTTCAGATCCAAAAAGATACTGGATAGCAGGTAAATGATGTATTTAATGCTTTCCTTCATGATTTTTCTTTACAAAGCATCACCACCGCAGAACTTTCTCCAAGCCATACTAATACAAGAAAGAAAAGAGAGCTTTACTCATAAACAGGCAATTGCTTACATCATATGTTTTAGGGATGATAGGACAACCTGGATACTCACCATCCTTATGTTTGCACTTTGCTTATATTACATTATATATGTTATATTAATCACTCCCTTGCTTACCCCCTCAACTCAACTCCAGTGTCACTCTTTTCCTTCCTGGTATTAAATTGGCAATAGCTAGACCGTAATTAAATCCAATCCAACGCCTTCTTGTGCCTACCCTTGTAGAGCAGATCATGCTTTACAGAAAAAAACACAATGCCTGCAGACTCCTCTCACTTTACATTCATGCCTACAACCCCAAATGGGTTCTTAAAGCTGCCAGCCAATCTTATATGGCAATTCCTGAGTCCATTCACTCTCTTGAGACAAGTAAAAACCTCTAACACTTCCCTTTGATTCCGCTTTAACTCAGAAAATAGAATCAGAAGAGATTTTTTAAAAAAAGACTCATCACCCACATTTATCCACCTACCTCCATCTGTGCTTATTAACTCTGCCTTTCCTCACTTTACAAGGATTGGATCATCCAACTACATTTTCTCTCCAACTCTAGGACATTGCTACAGAGAGCTTTTCCCCTCTTCTTACTATATCATCAATTTTGCCCCTTCCTACTTCCTATCAGCACACAAATATGATTTTTCCCATCTTAAAGGAAAACAGACCATCAAAATTCCTTGAATCTATTTCATCCTCTAGAAAACATCCAATTCTTTACTCTTCTTTATGATGAAAGTCCTTAACAGCAGTTTCCATACACATTCTCTCCCATTATATATTCACTGTTTATTTTCCCATTCTTTCTTAAAAATTCACATAATTCTACCACCCCTACAACTCCTATAAGACTTTTCCTTAAGGTCAGCAGTGACCTCATCACTGCCAAATCCAATCGTTTCTTAGAACTCGTATGGTCCGATCTGTCAACAGCATTTTGCAAGATTAATTACAGATTCTTTCTTGGAACACTTCTTCACTTGACTTCCAGCCCTTCATGCCTTCCTAATTTAATCCCTACTTCATCAGTCAGTCATCTTTTCTAATCGAGGTCATCAATCAAGGCTTAATCATCAATCCTCTTCTACACTTCATTTATTCTGTTCCCTTGATAAAAATCACCTGATTCTATATCATTGATTCTTTGTCATTCTCAAATTTCTACATCCAGACTAAAACTTTCCTCTCACTGTATTTCCAGAAATGTGATCTAAATGCCTATTCAACGGATGTCTAATAAACATCTCGAAATTTGCACATCCAACATCAGATTATTTATCTTTTCCCCAGAATCTAAGTTTAAGTCCTCTGAGAAGCAGATGCCAAGATAAGTGATTCTTACAATATTGATTTTGTGCAAGACATTTACTGGGGGAAAAATGCTTATGAATAATAAAAAGAAGGAATCTAGAGAAGGTGGGAAGAATCATTGAACCATGATACAGGTCTGACAGGCATGAAGAAGAGGGAGATGGAGGACAATTGGTGAAAAAAAAGGCAATGATTGCATCCCATTTCCAAGAATCTTCAGCCAGTTTGATGGAGAACACTTGAGAAAAAGTAGCCCATTAAGGAGTCCTACTTTTTTTTTTTTTTAGAAATGGGACTATTGGCATATCTCAGAGATATTACAGGTTAATTTTCAGATGACCTGCAATAAAGTGAGTCACACAAATTGTTTTGATTTTCCATTTCATATATAATTGTATTTATACTATACTATAGCATATTAAGTGTGCAATAGTATTTGGTCTAAAAACCAGTGTATTAACAATTTAAAAATACTGTTAAGAAATGATAATAATCATCTGACCATCAGCAAGTTGAAATCTTTTTACTGATAGAATGTCTTGCCTTAATATTGATGACTGCTGACTGATTAGGGTAGTGGTTACCAAAGCTGTGGGTGGTTATGGCTATTTCTTTTTTTATTATTAGACTAAGTTCTGGGGTACGTGTGCAGATCATGCAGGATTATTACATAGGTATACACATGCCATGGTGGTTTGCTGCATCCATCCCCCTAATACCTAATACATTAGGTATTTCCTTCTAATGTTAGCCCTCCCCAATTCCCCCACCCCCTGCTATCTCCCCCAAGCCCCCACCCCAAAACAAGCCCCAATGTGTGATGTTCCCCTCCCTGTGTCCATGTGTTCTCATTGTTCAACTCTCATGAGTGAGAGCATGTGGTGTTTGGTTTTCTGTTATTGTGCCAGTTTGCTGAGAATGTTGGTTTCCAGCTTCATCCACGCACCTGCAAAGGACATGAACTCATCCTTTTTATGGCTGCATAGTGTTCCATAGTGTATATGTGCCACATTTTCATTGTTCAGTCTATCATTAATGGGCATTTGGGTTGGTTCCAGGTCTTTGCTATTGTAAACAGTGCTGCAATGAACATACATGTGCATGTGTCTTTATAATAGAAGGATTTATAATCCTTTGGGTATATACCCAATAATGGGATTGCTGGGTCAAATGGTATTTCTAGTTCTAGATCCTTGAGAAATTGCCACACTGTCTTTCACAATGGTTGAACTAATTTACACTCTCTCCAACAGTGTAAAAGTGTTCCTGTTTCTCCACATGCTCTCCAGCATCTGTTCTCTTCAGATTTTTAAATGATTGCCAATCTAACTGGCATGAAATGGTATCTGATTGTGGTTTTGATTAGCATTTGTCTAAAGACCAGTGATGATGAGATTTTTTTTATGTGTTTGTTGGCCTCATATATGTCTTCTTTTGAAAAGTGACTCTTCATATCCTTTGGCTACTTTTTGATGGGGTTGTTTGTTTTCTTCTTGTAAATTTGTTTAAGTTCTTTGTAGATTCTGCATATTAGCCCTTTGTCAGATGGGTAGATTGCAAACATTTTTTCCCATTCTGTTGGTTGCCAGTTCACTCTAATGATAGTTTCTTTTGCTGTACAGAAGCTCTGAAGTTAAATTAGATTGTATTTGTCAATTTTAGCTTTTGTTGCCATTGCTTTTGGCGTTTTAGTCATGAAGTCCTTGCCTATGCTATGTCCTGAATGGTATTGCCTAGGTAGGTTTCTTCTAGAGTTTTATGGTGTTAGGCCTTATGTTTAAATCTTTAATCCATCTGGAGTTAATTTTTGTATAAAATA